AATGGGCCGTTTGCCAGCATATAGTGAATTAAGTATAGTGCCCAAGGCAATGTGTTGTAGGTGGATTGAGGGCATTGTAAGTCAGGCCTATTCAGCATTCATTTGTTGTGTATTGGCGGAGGTGGATTGGTGAGGTTCCACAGGTATTATATTCCACGTCTTTAGGAGGTCGATGCCTGCTTCTAGGTTTTTGACGATGTAGATTTTACCGTGGTATTTAACGGTAAGTTTTGTGGGGAAGACCCATTGGTAGCCTATTCCATGGTTCTGCAAAGCTTTGTTGATGGTGACCAGCTTGAGGAGTGTGGCTTTGGACAAGTCAGCAAATAATTTTACATTTGCGTGTGATTGCGGGAGTGGGGGGGGGGTGTTTCTGGCTGTTGACATTATTTTTTCTTTTACGTGGTAAAAGTGGATGTGTGCCAGAACATCTCTGGGGATTGAGGCTGACGGAATGAGGCGTTTCATATACTGATGGATGTATAGGAGTAATGTGTCGTTGGTAACAGTTTCAGGTATACCTCTGATTTTAATGTTATTGCGTCTGGAACGGTCTTCTAGATCCGCTAATTTAAGGTTTATTTGCTCAATATCAGCTTCATGGTCTGCATGTGCGTCAATCAGGTCGTTATGCGCTGTAACTATTTCTCCCATTCTGTTTTCAATATGGTGCAGTCGGTGGTGGTGCTTGCTGTTGTAACACATTTGAGATCTGGGATAGTGATGCTGTCAAATCGCTGTGTAGTGTTTGTCATAGAGATAGAAGCATATTTTTCATGCATATTTCGGTGATAGGTTGGTCAGAAGCAGGGAAAGAATCTATCAAAGGTGGAGTAGCATTGTGAGGTAATATTTGTGTGAGGAGAGGCTGACTGTCAGGCAGGGATCAGTGTCCAATCTGGGCCTGGATTTGGCTGGGCTGCTTGTGGTGGGAGACAGGGGGAGGTAGAGGACTCACCTGGGTCTCCTGGGTAGAAAGGATTTCTGAGCCTGGGATCCAGATGCTGGGATGTGTGGTTCCCCTCATAGGAGCTGTGGCCGTTTAAGGAGCCACCGGCACCATCTTGGCTGGATGCTGTGACAGCAAGGAAGAAGCTGGTAAGCTTCCCTGGCTGTCAGGGGGCTTCTCGGAGACGTGGCATGCTGCGGGGAGGGTTCTGTCACCCTTATGAATTGATCTGGCTGGTTACTTTGCCTTGGGGTCGGGGTGAGCCGGTGTGATGCTAGCAGGTGGACGGAGCTTCTCTCACAGTGCGTCCATCCCGGAGCCGGCCACGCATGTGCCCTGCATGACATTTTAGACACTATTAGGGATTAAGTGCAGAGTAGATAGGTTGACTCTGGATTCCAGTGTCACACCACAGTTCTCTGACACCAAGACCAACTCCACATCATGATCATCCTCACGGGCCCCTGCAACTGGACTTTGCTGCAACTTTCATCTGGAGGAATCTCCATAATTAAATATATATATACACGGGTATATGTGCACAATTCCACTAGTACACTTTCTGGGCCCTTTGCTGAGAGCACCTGTTTGTACTTTGGATGTATGTACTATTATTAATCTTTTCCTATATAAAGCTTGTATTATTTCCATACTGGTGCGCATCTGTAAACTTTTTGGTAATATATACAGGTTGCAGTTGTTCCTATGCTTCCAGTTACTTTGATTAGATTGATTGATTTCTTGATTAGATTAGATTAATTTCTCAGGAAGGGGACCCCCTCTCTTCACAGAGGCCCTGTCCTGGGTGGAGGTGATGTCAGCTTATTATCAAACCCATTCTCCATTTGGTGAAGTTTCTAGTTCTCTTACTTGCCTACAGGTATAGTGCAATTACAATTACTCACAGAAACCTTCACCACTTTAATCCTTCTCTTTACTACTCTGCAACCAACCACTTTATGACAGAATTTCTCTCCTGTCCTGGCCACTTCTGTCTACAACAGTTCACTCTCATCCACACTAGACTCACTTCAGGGCCGGATTTAGCCTGTCTAATGTGGGGAGGGGGGCAGTAGAAAATGTCCAGGGGGCAGAAGATGGAAGGTCAGCAGGGCAGCGTACAGGAGGTCCGCAGGGTGGAGGAAAGGGATCAGTAGTAAGTGACACAGAGTTCAGAGGTCAGTAGAAGATAAGGCAGAGTTCAGAGGTCAGTAGTAAGTGTGATGAACGCGGCATCAGACCCCAGCCCTTCTCACCAAACTCGTGACCGAAGGACTAGCCAATCACGTGCGTAACAAAGCCAAACTCAGCTGCACCCTGCACAACGATTTTCCAGCTAATTGGACCACAATCGATGCACCGGCAGCCTGAATGCGATTGTTACTGGGTCAGGTTAATTACACAATTAACCCTTCACACTGCCACCACCTCCTTTTTGTACAGAGAAAGAGGAAACTTGGCGAGATCAGCTATAATACTATAATGGTTGAGATAATCGTCTGTATAAAACGGTCACCGCAGGCTGGTTATACAGAGGGTTAAACAAACACAGTAGCGTCTCTGTTAGAGGCAGGAATTCGTAAATTACAATAAAGAGCTATAGAAACAGTTCAACACTTTCAGAAGGGAAGATTTATTACTAAAAGATCAAACGGTGCAATAAAAATATTTACAGAAAAAAGATGTAACTAAGATATATATATATAAATATACAGAGACCAACAGCACACCAAAGAGATATCAGAGAGAGGTGAAAGGGTTAAGGTACTTGCCAAAGTCCTGGGTTAGCAGATCCAAGTTTCAGAGTGAAAGGGCACGGGTCTCCTCAGGTGGTACTGATGTTAAAATGGGAGACGTCTTCAACTCAACTTTCTTAGGCCTGACAGCCCATTTTTGTAGTTCCCCAGCAGGGGTGTCTCTGAAGTCAAGTACCAATACCCCGTTTTGGGCGTGGAGGTCTGGGCGGATACCTCAACTAGAGCCAAAATCTCCCGTAACTCATATTTTAGCCCATAACTTTCCATCTGCACAAGTGACATTCCACCCGTGGGTAGATTATTATGCAGACACGTCTGAGATATAAAATATGAAATTATACACTGCCTGGTTCACGAGATCTACTTTTCTGCTTTCCCATGTATTCAAGAGAAGGCGAGTGACCTACCAAACTGTTCGTCTTCTTGTGGCCAATCTGACGATATGTCCGGGTTTTATGTAAGTCTCTCATATTCCAAGATATGAGACATAGGGGAAAAATGGGTTTTTAAAAAGGTTATCTGGTTCCATGTCTTTTGAACTCCTGGGAAGGCTGCGTTATCTTTTTACGAGGTGTTAAATTGCACAGGTTCTTTGGACAGAGAGGCCCCAGCTCCCTTGGGACTTTATAGCTCCCAGCCCCCTGCTGGGCCCTGGCCTCCTGTGACACTCCTAACACACACACACTCACACACGCTGCCATATGTCACTGTGCCTCTCAGAGATGGAGGGGGGAAAGTATGAGGGGAGAAAATGGAGATTCTCAACAAAATGGAGGCCTGCGTCAGTCTCTGGGTATACGCTGTTACAGTAAGTGATGCAGAGGACAGATTTTGCCTAACTGTGGAAGGATCTTAAAGGGGGTGATTAAACAGAATCTGTGCCTAGTTGTAGCATACTTTGCACAGTTCTATCATAGTTCTTGTGCTCACAAAATACGAGGTACTATGTCACAAGTGACAGTCTCCCAGAGACACATAAACCTCAGAATGAAGGTTCATTTTTAAAAATGTAAACGTTTCCATCACATATGATTTTCTGCACACTAACAGTGATTACTTTGTCTGTCTGAGCCAGCCTTCAGGAAGAACTTCATTAAAACCAGCAATTGTTTGGACATTGAACACTATAGTCAGGACAATGTAATGTATAACATAATGTATATAATGCATGGGTCAGGAGTAAGTAACATCTAAACAACATATAGATTACAGTGTCAGGATCAGCCCACCTCTTTACATCAGATTCCCCTTTACATCATGAATCCCCATCAGAGTTCCCCCTCTACATCAGAGTCCTCCACCTTACATCAGGGACCCCAGAGTCCCCCCTAACATCAGGTCCCCCAGAGTCACCGTCTCTAGCATCAGGGTACTTAGAGTCCTCCCTTACATTAGGGTCATCAGAGATCCTCAGCCTTGCCTGAGGGTCCCCAGAGTCACCCCCCTTACCTTAGGGTCCCCAGAACCACCTACCTTAATTCAGGACCACCTCCCCAACATCAGGGTCCCTACAGTCACCCTTAAATGTCAAGGTTCACAGAGATAACCTCTCTTACATCAGGGTCTCCAGAGCCCCCCTCCTCACATCAGGGTCCCTAGCATCACTCACTTAAAGGAGAGTCCCCGAAGTTTCGCTAGTTACATCAGGTCTCCAAAAGGTTTCCCCTTTGTATCAGGGTTCCCCCTCCTCCTTACATCAGGGTAATAATTATAGGCAAAAAGAATTAATGATAAAAGGATGGGGCACTTGTAACTGCCTCCCGCCTGACATATAAGGAAATGACGGCACAAGGCGGTTTTCTAGTTCTGGTAGGACGTCATATGACGTCCTCCCACTCTAAGGGAAAATGTCACCAGCACACCGAGGATCACCAATATGGGTCCAAAAGTTTTAATGAACGATGACATAGTTACAGCAAGGCAACATTTTGGAGTCTCACAGGACCCCTTCATTAGGCCTGTGACGTCACATGCCTGATGAAGGGGTCCTGTGAGACTTCGAAACGTTGCCTTGCTGTAACTATGTTATCATTCATTAAAACTTTTTGACCCATATTGGTGATCCTCGGTGTACTGGTGACATTTTCCCTTGCTGATTCTGTTTGCTACCAGCCGACAGTCACTGCAGCACCCACTTATAGACACAGCCATTTTTAACGCAGGAATGTGTGCATTTGGATTGTACACTTGTCCTCCCACTCTAAACGCGCATGCACGGCTCTGGGGGCAAGCAGCGCGGTGATCGGTAGTGCTCTGTGTCCCCCAGACACATCGGATCACCAATCAACGGAAAGAGCCAAAGACTTCGGCTCTGTAATGTGATCAGCTGTGTCCAGCATGTAAATAACGAAATGCCGGTTATCGGCATTTCTCCCCACACAAGCTGTCACGCTAACAACTCGTGAGGTGAGGAGAGCCGGTAATCGGCATTCCTCAAAAGGGACATGTACACTGATCATCAGGGCGCTGATGATCAGTGTGCCCTGATGATCAGTGTAGCCCCATCAGTGCCACCTGTTAGTGTCCATCAATGCCAGCTGTCAGTGCTCATCCATGCCACCTGCTAGTGCCCATCAATGCCACATATCAGTGCCTATCAGTGCACATAAATGTCACATATCAGTGCCCATCTGAGCTGCCTTTCAGTGCCACCTATCAGTGCCAGTCAGTACCACCTATCAATGCCAGTCAGTGCCACCTATAAGTGCTGCCAGTCAGGGCCGCCTATCAGTGCCCATCAGTGCCGCCTATCAGTGCCACCTAACAGTGCCAGTCAGTGCCGCCTATCAGTGCTGCCTTTCAGTGCCCATCAGTGATGCCTGTCAATACCCATCAGTGCCACCAACCAGTACCTCCTCATCAGTGCCCATCAGTGCATCCTATCAGTGCCTCATTAGCGTACATCAGTGAAGGAGAAAAATCACTTATTTACAAACTTTTATAACAGAAACTAAGAAAAAACTTTTTTTTCCAAAATTTTCAGTTGTTTTTGGTTTGTTTAGCAAAAAATAAAAAACCCAGAGGTGATTAAATACACCAAAAGAAAGCTCTATCTGTCACAAAAAAAAGATAAAAATTTCATATGGGTGTAGTGTTGCATGACCACACAATTGTTATTCAAAGTGTGACAGCACTGAAAGCTGAAAATTGGCCAGGGCAGGAAGGGGATATAAGTGCCCTGTGTGCAAGTGGTTAAAGATCTCCAAAGGCAGATTGAAATTCATCTGGTTTTTGCTGAAGCACAGTTTCAATCTGTCCATCTATGGACAGGCTGGTTGTACTGAAGTTGATCCATTGATCAGCTTCAGTACAACCAGGCTGTGAGGTTTTGCTTGTATGATCACTGCCGCCGGCTATAGATGTGTCAGAACACAGTAGAACCGATTCCCCCAACAACACTGAATGTGTTTATTCATTTATTTCAGGTACTTATATAGTGCCGTCACTTTACGCAGCGCTTTACATATATATTGTACATTCCCATCAGTCCATAACCGTCAAAGGGTGTACAATCTAAGGTCCCTAACTCACATTCATACATACATATACTAGGGCCAATTTACATACACAGGAGCCAATTCACCTCCCAGCATGTCTTTGGAGTGTGGGAGGAAACCGGAGTACCCATAGGAAACCCACGCAGGCACAGGGAGAACATGCAAACTCCAGGCAGGTGGTGCCGTGGTTGGTGTTGATAGTGAAACTGAGTAATTTTCTTTCCTTTAACTATGGTTGAAGGAAAGAAATGTGCTTAATGTATGGCAAGCCTAACCCTATGAGTGGCCAAGCAACCAAGTGCACAGAAATAAAAGGGTTAAATTAAAGTAAAGCTACCCACTTGATAAGAGAACTTTCACTGCACACAGCCTTATTTACTGCCAGGCTGATTGTGTATCTCCAGTCTCAACTGACAGGTCCAGCAAGCAGAGATAAACAATCACTGCACACTCAGGCTCAGCTTTGTTTACTACCAGGCTGTCAGTGTGCAGTGATTGTGTTGCATAGAGATCCAGATCCAGTCAGATGGGCAGTAAATAAAGCTGTGTGCAGTGAAATGTCTGATCAGGGAAGACAATTCACTTTAATTCAGCACTTTGTTCTGTGCATTTATGGGAGGGAGAAGGGAGCTGCTGGAGCTCTCAGTGTGCCACTGCCTCTGTCCATTGGTGGGGCAGAGTGTCGGGGGTGGAGACAAGAGAGCTGCTGGCTTTGGGGGCACAACTGGAATCTGGGGGGGCATAGCCCACCCCAGCACCCCCCTAGATCCGGACATGACTCACTTGCTCCTCTAACTACACGAAGTATCAGGCCCCGAACATTACAACCTTGGCAGACTGACAACACCAGAAATCTTAAGAGAGACATAGCCGCGCGCTGGAGCAATCATAGTGTAAAACCAAGTCCCAGCAAGCATTCACCCTATATAAATCTGCTTTCTTACAATTCCTCCCTCCATGCTGCCAAACAAGCCTACTTTGTCAGTCTTTTAATACCTTGTCATCCAGTTCTTGTTGTCTCTTCTCTACTTTTAATTCTCTACTTTAGTCCACCTCCACCCAGTAACTCACTCTCTACTCATGAGATTGCCAATCATTTCAAAAACAAGATTGATGCAATTCGTGGGGGCTTCTCCACTGCACAAATAAAGTTTAATCAGAAGCCCATCTTACCACCTGTCCCCTGGATCCTGTTCTCTCTCAATTACTACGGTCACCTTCTTCTATCCTATGCTCCCTCACTCACATCTTCAATCTCTCTCTCTCTACTGGCACCTTCCCTACCCCTCTAAAGCATGCACAGATCACTCCCATACTTAAAAAAGTCCTCTCTGGACCCCACCAACCTGACCAACTTAAGACCCATCTCCCTGCTCCCATTTACCTCTAAACTCTTAGAACGCTTAGTCTACAATCATCTGAGCTCCTACCTCACTGACAACAACCTTCTTGACCCCTTACACCCTGGCTTTCGTTTGCAGCACTCCACTGAAACTACCCTACTAAAACTCACTAATGATTTACCAACTGCTAAAACCAATGGCCACTACACCATACTCTTACTACTCGACCTCTCTGTGGCTTTTCATACTATTGACCATCCCCTACTCCTCAAAAAAACTCCTATAACTCGGTCTCCTCCTCTCCACTTCCTCATGCTGTAGGGGTCCCCCAAGGTTCTGTCCTCGGACCCATTTTCTTCTCCATCTACACATCCTCTCTTGGTCACTTGATTAACTCCCATGCTCCCATGCCTACAAGTACCATCTCTATGCTGATGACACACAAATCTATCTCTCTGCCCCTCATCTTACACCTTCAGTCTCCTCTCGCCTTACTAACTTACTAACTGATGTATCAGCATAGATGTCACACCACTTCCTCAAACTCAATCTTTCTAAATCTGAGCTCTTAATATTCCCTCCAGCCTGTGCCCCTCCTCCTCCATCAAGATCAATAATGTAACCATCAGTTCCTCTCTCATGCTAGGGTACTAGGTGTAATACTAGACATCAATCTGTCCTTTCAGCCCCAAATCCAATCACTGTAAAAATCTTGTAGACTTCACCTCCGTAATATCTCCAAAATACACTCCTTTTTAACAATTTAAAACATATTCAATCCTTGTTATCTCTCGCCTTGACTATTGTAACTCCCTCTTCATTGGCCTACCTAATCGCAGGCTATTCCCACTTCAGTCTATCATGAATGCTGCTGCCAGACTCATCCACCTTACCAACAGTTCCATGTCTGCCATACCTCTCTGCCAATTCCCCCACTGGCTTCCCAATGCCCAATGAATACAATTCAAAATCATTAATATATAAAGCCATTTACATCTCTGCCCCAGGCTACATCACCAATCTGTCTCCACATATCACCCAAACCAGTAAAAGTCAGGGGTATAATATGAGAAGTAGCCAACGCTTTGAGGGTCCAAATGCCCCCTTCGTTAGGGCTAGAAATAACATAAGAAGATTTTAATTTCAATCTGACATTAATAATGTCCCCTCAAAGGGGTCATACTTAAACCAAACAAAGTCAATCATAATGAGAAAAAAAAAAAATCATCATTAATAATAAAATGGTATATTATGGTTGATATGTTGGCCTAATATAAAACAGAAAGCGATAATGGTGTAAAGTATAAAAGGGGTTGTGAGCGCTATGAAAACAGACAAAGCAGCCACAGCATCAAAAAGGATACCAAAGAACCTTACAGACCATATAACATAAAAGATGCGGCGCTATAGCATAAATAAAATGTCCAAAATATCAATATGGTGATTGAGTGATTGATGTGATGATACAAACATTATATCACAAATAAAATGACATGCGGTGCAAAACCAGTCCTTGTGACAGTTATTTTCTTTCAAAGTGCTGCTTCCATGCAGTGAACGTGAAAAGGATAAGGCTGTGCACTCACCAGATGCACAGTGTAACTGCGCATTTAGAGATATATTATCTCCACTAGATCCACAAACAGCTTCAAGAGATCAGGTCAGGCCAGATATTCCTCCACCCGTTGGATGTTGCTAGTACTCCACGGTCTCTCTCTTGGGTGGCTCTATAGGTGATAAGTGACTCACCAAGGGCCACAAAGAAAGGAGACCAATAGCATGATACCGTTTTAAAAGATATTTATTATATATGCAGTATGGTAAGGTGAGGAAAACAAACAATCACTGACCATGAGGTGAATAAGCAGATGGCCGCCGGGACCTCCGTGGTGCCGGCGGCAGAGAAATAGTGACGCTGTAGCTCCTACCCTGACGCGTTTCGTGCTAACCGCACATCATCAAAGGGGATAAGCTTCAGCGTCTGCTCCTGACTGTATCCATTAAATATCGTAAATGGCGCATGCGCATTACGAACGCGCCATTTTCCATAGGAAATATGTCTCCATATCGGGCGCCATTTTGCCGGAGACCGGCCCGATCTAACATGTGCGGGCGCCATTTTTAAGACCACAGGTGTGTGTCACTAGGTCACCAGGGAAACCGAATATATAAATATGAAATGCTAAGAATTGTCATTAAAAACACCCAAATGAGCAGTGCCAGAACTCAATCCATAATAAGGTCCACACCTGAGAATGGGATTGGCAAATATCGTCAGAACGGACCACTGCGCATGTGCAGGATAATGCTGGGATATATATAGGGAACTGTTAATTCCTTATCCCCATATAAAATCGTAATAAAATCTGATGATACCCATGACACATACTTTACAATAAGATGAATACAATCCAAACATAGGTATAAATAAACTCATGAATATAAATAAAAACAATAATATCTGCAAAACACATATTATAATCCAAATAATGATATACATGTATTGTCCCTAAATTGTAAATACAAAATATCACCACTATACATTCGATATCATAAAAACACATAAATCTTAAAATTCTAAAAATCGCAATGACCAAAAACTACATCAATATATATTTTTATGTATAGGTATTTTTTCAACATGATTAAACCACTTGGGGCAAATATATAAAAAATATATAAAAAAAATTTTTTATTTAAAAAGGGCACAAAGATAAAATATAAAAGCATGTGAGTCCGTGTAAGTTACATATGGAAACCGATAAAGGTAAAGATAGGGAATAAAACCTGAAATCGAAAACGTGATTCAGAAGTTTCAGCTGTTGTCTATAAAACAGTTGATATCTATATCAACATTTAATCCTCGGGGATACATAGACCCCATCTCAAATATCCACTTAGTT